TACCTACTACCTTGTTTACCTACTACCCTGTTTACCTACTACCCTGTTTACCGACTACCTTGTTTACCTACTACCTTGTTTACCTACTACCCTGTTTACCTACAACCTTGTTTACCTACTACCCTGTTTACCTACTACCCTGTTTACCCACTACCTTGTTTACCTACTACCTTGTTTACCTACTACCTTGTTTACCTACTATCTTGTTTACCTACTACCTTGTTTACCTACTACCTTGTTTACCGCTCGCTAAAAGCTCCGTGGCGCAGTCCGTGGCCTCCATTTAAAATTTTCATCGTCAAAAGTCTTCTTACACGAATAAGGCGCGCTACCTAGCATTTACCTGTTACAAACCTTGCTCGTGTCTAGTAGTGCCCCAGTAATTACCCTGTAAATTGGGTCATTAGTATGGGGAAAGTGTAAAAGTTAGGGTCAAGTCGCTCTCCAGCAGCAACGGGGGGAGAGGGAGGAGAGCGACGATCACAACAACGGGCGCAGCGCAGGGCCGGTAAAATGGGGCGAGGTGGCGTGGTGGGGGTGGGGGTAGAGCATACAGTGAGGGAAAAAAAGCATTTGATCCCCTGCTGATTTTGTACGTTTGCCCACTGACAGAGAAATGATCAGTCTATAATTTTAATGGTAGGTTTATTTGAACAGCGAGAGACAGAACAACATCAACAAAATCCAGAAAAACGCATGTCAAAAATGTTATAAATTGATTTGCATTTTAATGAGGGAAATAAGTATTTGACCCCTCTGCAAAACATGACTTAGTACTTGGTGGCAAAACCCTTGTTGGCAATCACAGAGGTCAGACGTGTCTTGTAGTTGGCCACCAGGTTTGCACACATCTCATGAGGGATTTTGTCCCACTCCTCTTTGCAGATCTTCTCCAAGTCATTAAGGTTTCGAGGCTGACGTTTGGCAACTCGAACCTTCAGCTCCCTCCACATATTTTCTATGGGATTAAGGTCTGGAGACTGGCTAGGCCACTCCAGGACCTTAATGTGCTTCTTCTTGAGCCACTCCTTTGTTGCCTTGGCCGTGTGTTTTGGGTCATTGTCATGCTGGAATACCCATCCACGACCCATTTTCAATGCCCTGGCTGAGGGAAGGAGGTTCTCACCCAAGATTTTACGGTACATAGCCCTGTCCATCGTCCCTTTGATGCGGTGAAGTTGTCCTGTCCCCTTAGCAGAAAAACACCCCCAAAGCATAATGTTTCCACCTCCATGTTTGACGGTGGGGATGGTGTTCTTGGGGTCATAGGCAGCATTCCTCCTCCTCCAAACACGGCGAGTTGATTGATGCCAAAGAGCTCCATTTTGGTCTCATCTGACCACAACACTTGCACCCAGTTGTCCTCTGAATCATTCAGATGTTCATTGGCAAACTTCAGACGGGCATGTATATGTGCTTTCTAGAGCAGGGGGACCTTGCGGGCGCTGCAGGATTTCAGTCCTTCACGGCGTAGTGTTACCAATTGTTTTCTTGGTGACTATGGTCCCAGCTGCCATGAGATCATTGACAAGATCCTCCCGTGTAGTTCTGGGCTGATTCCTCACCGTTCTCATGATCATTGCAACTCGACGAGGTGAGATCTTGCATGGAGCCCCAGGCCGAGGGAGATTGACAGTTCTTTTGTGTTTCTTCCATTTGCGAATAATCGCACCAACTGTTGTCACCTTCTCACCAAGCTGCTTGGCAATGGTCTTGTAGCCCATTCCAGCCTTGTGTAGGTCTACAATCTTGTCCCTGACATCCTTGGAGAGCTCTTTGGTCTTGTCAATGGTGGAGAGTTTGGAATCTGATTGATTGATTGCTTCTGTGGACAGGTGTCTTTCATACAGGTAACAAGCTGAGATCAGGAGCACTCCCTTTAAGAGTGTGCTCCTAATCTCAGCTCGTTACCTGTATAAAAGACACCTGGGAGCCAGAAATCTTTCTGATTGAGAGGGGGTCAAATACTTATTTCCCTCATAAAAATGCAAATCAATTTATAACATTTTTGACATGCGTTTTTCTGGATTTTTTTGTTGTTCTGTCTCCCACTGTTCAAATAAACCTACCATTAAAATTATAGACTGATCATTTCTTTGTCAGTGGGCAAACGTACAAAATCAGCAGGGGATCAATTACTTGTTTCCCTCACTGTAGGTGGTGCCGTATGCCATGGTGGGGGGGGGATGGTAGGGAGGTTGATGGTGGGTGAAGGTGGGTGGGTAGGTGGAGGTGGCTGGGTGGAGGTGGGTGGAGGTGGGGGGGTGTTTATGGGTGGAGGTGGGTGGAGGTGGGGGAGTGTTTATGGGTGGAGGTGGCTGGGTGGAGGTGGGTGGGTGGAGGTGGGGGAGTGTTTATGGGTGGAGGTGGGGGGGTGTTTATGCGTGGAGGTGGGTGGAGGTGGGGGAATGTTTATGGGTGGAGGTGGGTGGAGGTGGGTGGGTGGAGGTGGGGGGGTGTTTATGGGTGGAGGTGGGTGGGTGGAGGTGTGTTTATGGGTGGAGGTGGGTGGAGGTGGGTGGGTGTGGTGTGGGGGGGTGAGTTCACAAAGCAACCCAAATGAATTTCCACCGTTCTGGTTCCAAGCAACAACTTTTAATGACGGCACGACAAGAGAGACGAGAGGGCCACGTTTGTGTTGTTGTGTTTGTGTTGTTGTTGTGTTGTGTTTGTGTTGTGTTGTTGTGTTTGTGTTTGTGTTGTTTGTATTATTTGTGTTGTGTTTGTGTTCTCGTGCCTGGGCGGTGAACGCACCACGTCGCTCTGCTCACAGACAGCCACAACAAAGACAAAAGCTCCCTCCCCACCCACCCACTACCACTACCACCCACTACCACCACCACCACCACCCACTACCACCACCACCCACTACCACCCCAACCCACCACCACCATCATCACCATCATCACCACCTCCACCACCACAATCATCATCACCACCATCACTACCACCATCACCACCATCATCATCACCACCACCATCATCATCATTACCACCATCATCATTACCACCATCACCACCATCATCATCATTACCACCATCACCATCATCACCACTGCCACAATCATCACCACCATCACTACCACCGTCACCACCATCATCACCGTCACCACCACCATCATCATCACCGTCACCACCACCATCACCACCACCATCATCATCACTATTACCACCATCACCACCATCATCATCATCATCACCACCACCAACACCACAATCATCATCACCACCATCACTACCACCATCATCACCATCACCATCATTACCATCACCTCCCCAAGTGGCGATGTTCACGCACAGGCATCCACTTTTGCACTAGGCCAGTAGGGTTACTCATGTTGAGGCTGAGCCGACCTAGGGGGAGGCAGCCGCTACACCGGCGGTGGTGGCGGTGTTGGCGGTGGAGGCGGTGTTGGTGGCGTTGGTGGTGGTGTTGGTGGCGTTGGTGTTGGCGATGTTTGTTGGTGGTGGCGTTGTTGGTGGTGGCAAAGTTTGTTGGTGATGGTGGTGTTGTTGGTGGTGGCGTTGGTGGTGGCGGTGTTTGTTGGTGGTGGTGTTGTTGGTGGTGGCGTTGGTGGTGGCGGTGTTTGTTGGTGGCCGTGAGTGGGAATCGACTTGGGGTTGAGAGCGCGGCGTGCTAACCGCTGAGCCACCGCTCCCCACACAAACAAAGATCCCCCGTATAGCCTCGACAGACTGTCAGGGCAAGTGCTGTTAGCGAGCAGCAGCACGCTATGAAGGCCTGCACTGTGGCACACGAGGGGGGGGGGGTGGCCAACACCACGCCCGGCCGCCTTTGTCTCCCCCGCGCCCGCACCAGGCAACTCATTTGCGGCCGAGTCGACCTAGGGGAGGCCCACGAGCGGTGTCAAGATTTAAATCGGGCGGCTTTTTGTGGCCGCGAGCGGGAATCGAAACTCGTGTTCGCCGGGGGGACACGCACACACGCGCACGTTTTAAAAATTATGTACACTTTGCAATGTCCAAGTGCCGCATTCAGGCACCGCCTTCTCTGGCGCGTCCCCCCCTTCGATAGAGCTGCGAGGGAGGACGCTGAAAGGGGGAGAGAGCGAGCGAGAGAGAGAGAGCGAGAGAGGGAGAGAAAAACACAACGCTAAACTAACAAAAAAAATTTGAGAGAAAATGAGAGAGAGAGAGAGAGATATTATCTCGACCAAAAAAAACAATAATCTGAAAATAAAAAAAGCGCCCAGCAACAAAGAAGAATAAGTGAGCCACTGGCCCGTGCATGCACGCAGGGTAGGAATGAATGCACTTCTTGCGTGAAAACCGATTTCACGTTTAAAAGATTGGCACCGTTGCGGGGGAGGGGGGGAAGAGGGGGGAGAGAGAGAGGGGGAGGGGGGGATGAGAGCGAGAGAGAGAAAAAAAAGAGAGAAAGGAGAGAGAGGGGAGAGGAAAGTAGAGATGGAGGAGAGAGGGGGGAGAGAGAGGGGGGGAGAGGGAGGGGAGAGGAAGTGGAGATGGAGGAGGGGAGAGAGGGAGGAGAAAGAGGGGAGAAAGAGGAGAGAGGGAGGGGGGAGGAGAGCGAGAGAGAAAGGAGATGGGAGAGAAAGTATAGAGAGAGGGGAGAGAGAGAGAGGGGGGAGTGAGAGGGGAGAGAGAGGGGGGGGAGAGAGGGGAGAGAGAGGGGGGAGTGAGAGGGGAGAGAAAGTAGAGAGAGGGTAGAGAGGGAGAGAGGGGGGAGTGAGAGGGGAGAGAGAGAGAGAGGGGAGAGAGAGAGGGGGGAGTGAGAGGGGAGAGAGAGGGGGGAGTGAGAGGGGAGAGAGAGGGGGGAGTGAGAGGGGAGAGAAAGTAGAGAGAGGGGAGACAGAGGGGAGAGAGAGGGGAGAGAGAGGGGAGAGAGAGAGAGAAAGAGAGGGGGAGAGAGAGGGGGGAGTGAGAGGGGAGAGAGAGAGGGGGGAGTGAGAGGGGAGAGAAAGTAGAGAGAGGGGAGACAGAGGGGAGAGAGAGGGGAGAGAGAGGGGGGAGTGAGAGGGGAGAGAGAGGGGAGAGAGAGAGGAGAGAAAGAGAGAAGGGAGAGAGAGAGGGCTAAACAAAAACAAATCAACCCCATAAATAGGGACCGACCGATCAGAGCACGCCACGATTTAAAACATAACCAAAGTGTCGCGGACTTGATCAGCTAAAAAGTCTCCGCGTCTCAAGCGGAGTGGGGGGGGGGGTTGTAGGGTGGTGGACGGAACGACGAAACTATTGCACACTTGCACGGCTAAAACGAAAACAACGACTTACTTAAATTCAGCACAACACGCAAACCCGATTGCACGTATTCTTTTTTTTAAAACGAACCGGTGGCGCCTCTTGTTATATATATATATTTTTTTATACTTTAAACTTCAATTTTAACGGGATGTCGTCCACCCACCCTCCCCCCCCCCCCCCGCCTCCAAGGAATGTTATACCGAACCAAACCTATCTACGTGACTTCAGAGAAAGACCCAAAGAAAATGAATTTCTTGCAGTCAGGTCAAGATTGAATCAAACCTCCCCCCCCACCCCACCCCCTCTGAAGTCGCAAACAAAAATGGAATGCTCCATCCGGCGGGCCCCAGCGCTCGGACCGTACCATCTGAAGCATAAGAAGGAGGGGAGAGAGAGGGGGAGGGACAGTGATTGTCATTACCAGACGTCACCCCGTGTTACTTCGCTCACAAAAGTTGACGACGACGATGATGCTGATGATGATGACGGCGGTGTCGTCTGTGATTTTTTTATTCCAAGTTACTGCTGACAAAAGTGTGATTATTGTGCGGTTTTTTTTTTCTGTGCTGGGTGGTGGTGGTGGTGGTGATGATGGAGGTGTGGATGACAGGGAGAAGGAGATGGTGTCTGTGTGTGTCTGTGTGTGCGGTAAACGAACATTAAACATCCCGGGTGATAATCTCGTATTCGTTTTGCCACTAGCAAACTAGTTAGCCTTTGCGGAACAAAAAAAACACAGACCTTTATTTTCAACGGTTTTTATTTAACTTCACTTGTGTTTGAATTTTGATTTAAAGCTTTCGTGACTGCAGGTATTCATATTGTTGGTGTATTCGGTAAAGTCACCGCCACGTCAGAAGGGAAACAATAAAATAAGAAAAATATGTAAAAATAAAATTCTCACGACGTTTCGACTGCAACACAAGCGATCATCATCAGGTGTGAAAAACCACAGCAGGAAAATTTGAAAAAAGTGGCGGTGTTTTTTTTCTTAACGTTAGCACCACGGAGAGCGATTTGACAGTTTGTTCAGATGGACGAGTCCATCTATTTTGATTTAAAGCTTTCGTAACTGCAGTAATTCATATTCTTAGTTCTTTCGGTAAAGTCACGTTGAAGGGAAACAACAAAATAATAATATATATAACAATAAAAATTCTCACGACGTTTCGACCATAACATAAACAGTCGTCTTCAGGTGTGTTGGTTTGCATAAATTTATTTTTAAACGGCGCATTTATAAACCAACACACCTGAAAATGACCGTTTGTGTTATGGTCGAAACGTCGTGAGAATTTTTATTGTTTTATATAATTTTATTATTTTGTTGTTTCCCTCAACGTGACTTTACCGAAAGAACTAAGAATATGAGTCCATCTATGTTCGGAAAAGAGGAGGGGGGAGACGAAAAATAATGGATGCGGTCTGAAAGTCCACCGTAAGCGTGAACAATCAATTAAGACCCGAACACAGATGGACTCGTCCATCTGAAACAAACTGGCAAATCGCTCTCCGTGGTGCTAACGTTAAGAAAAAAAACACCGCCACTTTTTTCTTGCTGTGGTTTTCACACCTCCCCACGTACCCCCACCTACCCGATCTGCCCCCACCTACCCCCACCTACCCCCACCCTGCCCCACCTACCCCCACCTACCCCCACCTGCCCTTCTCCCCACCTACCCCCACCTACCCATCTCCCCACCTACCCCCCACCTACCCATCTCCCCACCTACCCCCACCTACCCATCTCCCCACCTACCCCCCACCTACCCATCTCCCCACCTACTCCACCTACCCCCCACCTGCCCATCTCCCCACCTACCCCCACCTACGCCCACCTACCCCACCTACCCCACCTACCCCCCACCTGCCCATCTCCCCAACCTACCCCCACCTACCCCCCACCTACCCCCCCACCTACCCCCCACCTACCCATCTCCCCACCTACCCCACCTACCCCCCCACCTACGCCCACCTACCCCACCTGCCCCACCTACCCCCACCTACCCCACCTACCCCCCACCTACCCCACCTACCCCCACCCTACCCCCACCTACCCCACCTACCCCACCTACCCCACCTACCCCCACCTACCCATCTCCCCACCTACCCCCACCTACCCATCTCCCCACCTACCCCCCACCTACCCATCTCCCCACCTACTCCACCTACCCCCCCACCTGCCCATCTCCCCACCTACCCCACCTGCCCCACCTACCCCCACCTGAACATCTCCCCACCTACCCCACCTACCCCCCACCTACCCCACCTACCCCCACCTACCCCCACCTACCCCACCCTACCCCACCTACCCCCCACCTACCCATCTCCCCACCTACCCCCACCTACCCATCTCCCCACCTACCCCCCCACCTACCCATCTCCCCACCTACTCCACCTACCCCCCACCTGCCCATCTCCCCACCTACCCCCACCTACGCCCACCTACCCCACCTACCCCACCTACCCCCCACCTGCCCATCTCCCCCACCTACCCCCACCTACCCCCCACCTACCCCCCACCTACCCCCCACCTACCCCCCACCTACCCATCTCCCCACCTACCCCACCTACCCCCCCACCTACGCCCACCTACCCCACCTGCCCCACCTATCCCCACCTGAACATCTCCCCACCTACCCCACCTACCCCCCACCTACCCCACCTACCCCCACCTACCCCCACCTACCCCACCTACCCCACCCTACCCCCACCTACCCATCTCCCCCACCTACCCCCCCACCTACCCATCTCCCCCACCTACCCCCACCTACCCCCACCTACCCCCCCACCTACCCCACCTACCCCACCTACCCCCACCTACCCATCTCCCCCACCTACCCCCCACCTACCCATCTCCCCCACCTACCCCCCACCTACCCCCCACCTACCACCTCCCCACCTGCCCCCCCCCCACCGTTCGCTTGCCCCCTTCAGCAGATGTCACGTAGCAGCTTCCTGTGGAACTCCGGCTCGGACATCTCTGGGTAGAGGAGCTCCAGGCAGAGGTCCCACAGACTGTACACCACGTGCCTGCAAGGCCACGCACACACACACACACACAGACAAAGGTCCCCATACCCCCCCCGGTATAACCTCGACAGACTGTAGGGGCAAGTGCTGTTAGCTAGCAGCACCTGTGAAGGCCGGCACGGCACACGAGGCGGTGGCTGGCCAGCACCACGCCCGGCCGCCTTTGTCTTCCCCTGGTGCGACGTTTACTACTACTACTACTACGCACCGCGCCGAGGAACTCATTTGAGGCCGAGCCGACCTAGGGGAGGTCGCAGGACTGGTTCAGGTATCCGCGTCACCGGCGTTGGACGTGAGCGGGGCGGGTGGCCGGCAACACGTCCGTCGCGAAGACAAAGGTCCCCCGTGTAACCTCGACAAACCGCTGGGGCAAGTGCTGATGGCGAGTAGCACCCAGTGAACGGGCGGCCAGCACGACCACGGCCGACACAAAGGCAAAGATCCCCCCCCCCCCCCCCCCCCCGTGTGTAGCCTCAACAGACCGTCGGGGCAAGTGCTGATGGCAAGCAGTGTCTGCTACCTGTTGATGGTGGGGTCCTGAAAGGAGTCGACAATCATTTCCCAGCATTCCCTGTACTTCGCCGGGCCGATGAGCCACACGGCAAGCCCTGTTCACAGCGACGACAACAACGACGACACGCACGGCACAGAATTAAATAGAACGCTTCCGTGGGGGGGGGGGGCAGGGGGGGGCAGGGGGGGGGGCAGGGGGGGGGTGTCTGTTCTATTGACGACACGCGGACCCGCGACTTTTTTAAATCGCCCATCGAAGAAATTTTTTTTGGGGGGGGGCCTTTTCGTTATTTTTTGGTGCTGGAACTCTCCGGACAGAGACGCGCGGGAGCGCCCCCCCCCCCCCCGCCCCCTGCTCCCGCGCGGCCGTCTGGAACGCTCTTCTTCCCACTGGCGGGGGGGAGGGTGGGGGGTGGCACGTGCCCCCCCCCCCGCCCCCAATGATCCGATCGAAATCCATAATTTCGATCGGTTCATAGGGGTTTGTTAGTAATAAATCGGAATTTTGCGACCCCCACTGCCACTGTGTAGCATTTTATTATTATTATTACGTGGCCAGGGACTCTATGAGATGATAGGACAATAGTCTGAGTCCACAATTGTCAATAAGTAACGGCAAAGCGGTAATAAGCGACCCACAGAATTGTGCGCAGTTGCGTCTACAGAGTCCACGACTTCCCTGAAGGCATCAGCACCTTCAGCTAGCGCGGTGCCGATCACTAACAACTCCTTACTTACTAACAACTCCTTACTTACTAACAACTCCTTACTAACAACTCCTTACTTACTAACAACTCCTTACTTACTAACAACTCCTTACTTACTAACAACTCGTTACTTACTAACAACTCCTTACTAACTAACAACTCCTTACTTACTAACAACTTCCAACTAACTACTTACTTACTAACAACTCCTTACTTACTAACAACTCCTTACTTACTAACAACTCCTTACTTGCTAACAACTCCTTACTTACTAACAACTTCCAACTAACTACTTACTTACTAACAACTCCTTACTTACTACTTACTTACTAACAACTCCTTACTTACTAACAACTCCTTACTTACTAACAACTCCTTACTTACCAACAACTTCCAACTAACTCCTTACTTACTAACAACTCCTTACTTACTACTTACTTACTAACAACTCCTTACTTACTAACAACTACTTACTTACTAACAACTCCTTACTTACTAACAACTCCTTACTTACCAACAACTTCCAACTAACTACTTACTTACTAACAACTCCTTACTTACTAACAACTTCCAACTAACTACTTACTTACTAACTCCTTACTTACTACTTACTTACTAACAACTCCTTACTTACTAACAACTACTTACTTACTAACAACTCCTTACTTACTAACAACTCCTTACTTACTAACAACTTCCAACTAACTACTTACTTACTAACAACTCCTTACTTACTAACAACACCTTACTTACTATCAACTCGTTACTTACTAACAACTCCTTACTTACTAACAACTCCTAACTCACAACTCCTTAGTAACAACTCCTTACTCACTAACAACTCCTTACACACTAACAACTCCTTACTTACTAACAACTCCTTACTTACTAACAACTACTTACTTACTAACAACTCCTTACTAACAACTCCTCACGAACTCCTTACTAACAACTCCTTACTAACAACTCCTTACTTACTAACAACTCCTTACTAACAACTACTTACTAACAACTCCTTACTTACTAACAACTCCTTACTAACAACTCCTTACTAACTAACAACTCCTTACTCACTAACAACTCCTTACTAACAACTCCTTACTAACTAACAACTCCTTACTCACTAACAACTCCTTACTAACAACTCCTTACTTACTAACAACTCCTTACTTACTAACAACTCCTTACTTACTAACAACTTCCAACTAACTACTTACTTACTAACAACTCCTTACTTACTAACAACTTCCAACTAACTACTTACTTACTAACAACTCCTTACTTACTACTTACTTACTAACAACTCCTTACTTACTAACAACTCCTTACTTACTAACAACTCCTTACTTACCAACAACTTCCAACTAACTCCTTACTTACTAACAACTCCTTACTTACTACTTACTTACTAACAACTCCTTACTTACTAACAACTACTTACTTACTAACAACTCCTTACTTACTAACAACTCCTTACTTACCAACAACTTCCAACTAACTACTTACTTACTAACAACTCCTTACTTACTAACAACTTCCAACTAACTACTTACTTACTAACAACTCCTTACTTACTACTTACTTACTAACAACTCCTTACTTACTAACAACTACTTACTTACTAACAACTCCTTACTTACTAACAACTCCTTACTTACTAACAACTTCCAACTAACTACTTACTTACTAACAACTCCTTACTTACTAACAACACCTTACTTACTATCAACTCGTTACTTACTAACAACTCCTTACTTACTAACAACTCCTAACTCACAACTCCTTAGTAACAACTCCTTACTCACTAACAACTCCTTACACACTAACAACTCCTTACTTACTAACAACTCCTTACTTACTAACAACTACTTACTTACTAACAACTCCTTACTAACAACTCCTCACGAACTCCTTACTAACAACTCCTTACTAACAACTCCTTACTTACTAACAACTCCTTACTAACAACTACTTACTAACAACTCCTTACTTACTAACAACTCCTTACTAACAACTCCTTACTAACTAACAACTCCTTACTCACTAACAACTCCTTACTAACAACTCCTTACTAACTAACAACTCCTTACTCACTAACAACTCCTTACTAACAACTCCTTACTTACTAACAACTCCTTACTCACTAACAACTCCTTACTCACTAACAACTCCTTACTTACTACCAAGTCCTTACCTACTAACAACTCCTTACTAACAACTCCTTACTTACTAACAACTCCTTACTTACTAACAACTCCTTACCTACAAAGAACTCCTTACTAACAACTCCTTACTTACTAACAACTCCTTACTTACTAACAACTCCTTACTTACTCACAACTCCTTACTTACTAACAACTTCCAACTAACTCCTTACTTACTAACAACTCCTTACTTACTAACAACTCCTTACTCACTAACAACTCCTTAGTAACTCCTTACTTACTAACAAGTCCTTACGTACTAACAAGTCCTTACTTATTCTTAGCTCTTTCGGTAAAGTCACGTTGAAGGGAAACAACAAAATAATAATAATATATGTAAAACAATAAAAATTCTCACGACGTTTCGACCATAACACAAATGGTCGTCATCAGGTGTGTCGGTTTGCATTAATTTATTTATTTTTAAACGACGGAGGAGGGGGGGGAGCGGAGGAGGAGGTGGAGGAGGTGGAGGAGCTTCCGCGGGCCGTCTGGAACGTTGTTCCCTTCCGATTTTCGGAAAGCCGTTGGGAGCTGAGCACTTTTAAATCAACATCATCATCGTCGTCGTCGTCCAAATAGACACACTCACATTTTGTGGTTGTGTTTAGTTTGAGACACTCCTAACCCCCCCCCCGCCCCCCCGGACCTCTGATTAGCGCGGTTGGCTACGTATGGTGGTGCGAAATAAGTTAACGTACATAGTGTAGTGTATAGTGTAGTGTATAGTGTAGTGTATAATAGTGTAGTGTGAATAGTGTAGTGTATAGTAGTGTAGTGTGTATAGTGTAGTGTATAGTAGTGTAGTGTATAGTAGTGTAGTGGATAGTAGTGTAGTGTATAGTGTAGTGTGTATAGTGTAGTGTATAGTGTAGTGTGTATAGTGTAGTGTATAGTGTAGTGTGTATAGTATAGTTTATAGTGTAGTGTATAGTGTAGTGTATAGTAGTGTAGTGTGTATAGTGTAATGTATAGTGTAGTGTATAGTGTAGTGTGTATAGTGTAGTGTATAGTAGTGTAGTGTGTATAGTGTATTGTATAGTAGTGTATAGTGTAGTGTATAATAGTGTAGTGTATAGTAGTGTAGTGTGTATAGTGTAGTGTATAGTGTAGTGTGTATAGTGTAGTGTATAGTAGTGTAGTGCATAGTAGTGTAGTGGATAGTAGTGTAGTGTATATTGTAGTGTATAGTAGTGTGTATAGTGTAGTGTATAATGTAGTGTATAGTAGTGTGGTGTGTATAGTGTAGTGTATAGTAGCGTAGTGTGTATAGTGTAGTGTGTATAGTGTAGTGTATAATGTAGTGTATAGTAGTGTAGTGTGTATAGTAGTGTAGTGTATAGTAGTGTAATGTATAGAAGTTTAATGTATAGTAGTGTAGTGTGTATAGTGTAGTGTATAGTAGTGTAGTGTGTATAGTGTAGTGTATAGTAGTGTAGTGTATAATGTAGTGTATAGTAGTGTAATGTGTATAGTGTAGTGTATAGTAGTGTATTGTGTATAGTGTAGTGTATAGTAGTGTAGTGTATAGTGGTGTAATGTATAGTGTAGTGTACAGTGTAGTGTAATGTATAGTGTAGTGTATAGTGTAGTCTATAGTAGTGTAGTGTATAGTGTAGTATACTAGTGTAGTGTAATGTATAGTAGTGTATAGTGTAGTGTATAGTAGTGTAATGTATAGTGTAATGTATAGTAGTGTAGTGTGTATAGTGTAGTGTGTATAGTGTAGTGTATAGTGTAGTTTATAGTGTAGTGTATAGTAGTGTAGTGTAAAGTGTAGTGTACAGTGTAGTGTATAGTAGTATAGTGTATAGTGTAGTGGATAGTATTGTAATGTATAGTAGTGTATAGTAGTGTAGAGTATAGTAGTGTAATGTATAGTGTAGTGTGTAATGTATAGTATAGTGTAGTGTATAGTGTAGTGTGTAATGTATAGTATAGTGTAGTGTATAGTGTAGTGTATAGTAGTGTAGTGTATAGTGTAGTGTATAGTAGTGTAGTGTATAGTGTAGTGTAGAGTAGTGTAGTGTATAGTGTAGTGTATAGTGTAGTGTATAGTGTAGTGTATAGTGTTGTGTATAGTGTAGTGTATAGTAGTGTAATGTATAGTGTAGTGTAATGTATAGTGTAGTGTAGTTGTGTATTGTGTGTTAGATTGGTGCCCTAACCCCTTCGCACCTCCGA